ATTAGTTATGTTAGTCTACCGGTCTTTATTCTTTTTCCAATGGTATTCTTATATTCCCTCTACACACTGCTATTCTAGTTACGATCAGCCCTATTTCCTCCTTTACATTGTGCACATATCAACATGCATAAATAATTTGCCCCATTACAAATAAAGGATTCGCTGACGGGCGCCCTGAGTATCAAACGTAGTTTTTTCGATATTGTCCTAATATTGCACTCTAACACAGTGGTTTCTCATTTTTTCATTATTCTCGTCGTCGTCGTTTAGGATTGTCGTTTTGGATGTTAGGTTGTTCTCATTGTTTCTCATTGTTCTTCGTTTACTTACTTACCTCCTCTTTAGTTCTTTCTTTATTTCTTAATCACCACTTCTTCCCTTCCTACTAACTGTTTTTGGCAACCCTACTCACTGATGAGCCTCAAGGGTTGACAAAAACATTTTTTCTTCTCACTTTTACTTTCTATCAATTCATCATCTCTACTAACACTGTATCCTTTCATTGACATATTGTTTTTGTCCACCCATAATACATTATGGGTTGTCAGAAACAATAAGTGGTTCGTCTGAGTAAGAGGCGAAACGAACCACCTCTTATTCTTTACTCAACAATTTCAAATTGTTAGTTATTAGATGCGTATCGACGTAGTAAACCACGCCCAATTAGCGTTGCTGGAGGATTTTCGCGTCGAGGCATCGAAAGCGCGAAACGCAGGGCAACGCCCAACTAGCGAAAAGGTTTAGACGCATATTGATCGCGCACATCGAAACAGTGGGAGGTCTCTGCGACGGTGGTGAACATTGCTCAAACGGAATTCAAACAATACACGGGAAAACGTTCAAATTTGTGGTTTCTTCTACACCCTATTAAGTGCACTTGTACCCCCTCAAGATCGTTCGGAAATTCTCTGAGTTGAAGGGCCATAGCACCTGTATACTGATTTTTTCACACTTTGTTATTTGTCATTTCACTCACAGAAACTTCACAATGGCAAGGCAGAAACATAAACGAGTGTCCATTTTTGACCCGTGGCTGTTGTGCATGTATCCAAGCCAAAATCACTACGATGCTCTTCTAATAAGAGAAAGTGCAGCGAACGCAGTCTTACACAATAACTATTTATTGAAGTATGTCAAGGCGAGTACGATATGAGACAGTGCAGAAGTAAGGTGCGAAGCGTCCAAGGTATGGACAGGAGTAACAGGAGGAGATCCGCTGTCCAGTCCGCCGTCCGTCCTCATGGTCGAACCATCGAATGCCTGTCGCGCAACCTCCCATGTTGTCATTCCTTGGTGCCTCGGCCGCCATATCACTGAACGGCATCTGGAAATAGGAATTGATTATTAAGCTCCGAACATGTGATTTCCTCCCTTTACACCTCCCCTGCCGCAAAAAAGTCCGTCCCGGACTTAGAATTTAGGACTTACCCTATTGTAAGGATAGATGATTGAAGATGCTTACAGTCAATAAGTCGAGAGCGGCGGCGGCTGTGGACGAGATACAGCGATAATAATGATGAGGGGAAGGGGTTCTGTCGAGTAGATGGAGAAGATGGAAATTGAGGGTTGATGGGTAAACAAAAAAATAATGAAGTTTAGTGTAGGAATAGTTGCCCTCCTTCAGTGGGTATGGAATAGGTTTCTTCAGCTGGGCGGAGGGGAGGACGGCACCTGCTTGTTCAGCCCAACTTACGAGCTTTCCCCAGTGGGGTAGGGATCGCAGAGTGGGGACATGGCCCAGTATAAATTGCCCATGTCGGCAACGGGTGACTGCCACGTTGAGACGAAGGAGATCGTCAATGAAGCCCGCAGTCTCAGGTTTTAGGCCCGTGCGATCCTGCCAATGCGGTGGCTGCTCGAACCACATTCAACAGCCGGTTAGCAAAAGCCGTCGTGGATTCGGAAGGCCCTTGTTGACAGGTGGATAGGGCCTGGCGAGCCAAATGCCTTTGTTGGGGGCTCTCAAAAAATGACTTTAGATGGCCTACGATAGCATCATAGTCTTTCCGCTGCTCATTTGATAACTCTTCCACTTTTTCGCGTGCAACCCCCTCAAGATGTCCCACTAGAAAATTAGCCTTTTGTTCTGAAGTCAGGGGCGCTGTGCGCATACGCATGATATCCTCGAATCTGCGCAGCCATATGGAGAACTGAGGAGAGTCACCGTCGCCGGAGAAGTACGCTAACTTAGGGAATGTTCCTTCAGGGAGGCACGAAACTACGGTGGGCAACGATTGGAAGCGATCGCCGACGGCTGCGAATGAATCGTTCAATTGGTGAAGAAGGTTCACATTGTTGGCCGAAATCTGTTGGGCCAGTGAGGATGTGGAGTGACGCGCGTCGCGCCAGGCTTCGGTAACAGCCGTGGCCGCTGCATCCCGCAGTTCCTTAGCGTCTCTCCCCAAGACGGTGTCGGTATCTTCGAGGTCCCTTAAGGTTGTACGGAGTTCTTCCGTAAACTTAGGTTGGTGAACCTCATCATAGTCTTGGGTCTTTGTTATTTCCCCACTAGCCAATGCTGCCCTTGTTTGGGAACGGGTGACCGGACCCGATGTTCGAGACATCCGTTTCGATGAGCCTAGTGCTCAATGATATCGGAGGAAAAACGAGCTCAAGCAAGAAAACTGTGAATTCAGTCGAGATACGACAAGAGACGATAATGTCAGTCAACACAAGTGAAAATTCAGTAGGAGAATCACAAGTAGGAATACGAAAAGGGTGACGCCGGCTACTGTCAATGATTTATATAGAGGAAGGGGAAGGAGGAGGTACTGACAGAAGGAATGTATTTCAAAAGAATGCGATTGACCGAGCCTGATAGAATGGGGAAACAAGGGGGGAAACATTTTCTGTTATCGCTGCTCTCCATCTGGGAAGGGTATGTGGGAACAAGCCACAACAACCGCTGGTATGTGTAAGCGCTGCTCGCGAAGATGAGGAAAAAAGATAGGGTTACTGTTGCGAGGAAAAAAACCCTCGCACTGCGTGACTCATGGTCGGCAATTCGAATCCATTCCCAAAGACACAGGTTCGCGAAGAAAAGGATGGTCAAATGATGACAAGCGGAAGGCTGCTTGGCTAAGTTAATGTACGGCGCGAGCAACGGGTAATGGTACAGAGGACCGGGAAGGAAGTTGCAACTTTATATTCGTATATTTTAGAGGAAAAAAAATCATTTTAGAGAAGAAGAAAGCGAAATCGAGAAGCGAATAACTTAGGGGAAGGGGTGAGAGAAAAAGAAAAACAAACTAGCGTAGCCGCTTTTTAGGTACTTTAGCTGTGAGCTACTCTTTCACCAGCGTTTCTTGGAGCCGGGGCATTTTCTAAAAAGACCTGTGCCCTGCTCCACCTCTCTTTGTGGAGGTCTTCCCTTTTCCGCATGCATGCTAGGGCTACTCCCTACCTCAACGTGACCATACGGTAGCTACCATAATGTTACACACGAGACTACAATGCATTCCACCTCAAACGCTCGAGCTGTCCAAATGGCTGCCTTGAGTCAGCGAAATTGTCTGACATTCTTCACCCGGGGATACTTTACACTCAACCGAAACGTGCACGAAAAGGAACTAGCTATCTACGAAACAGATAGAACGGAAGGCTAAAAAAAATAAATTGCCCAATTCGGAATATTGTCCGCGACCCAGTGTTGAAGGATGAAGCGGGATCTCGAATTCGCCACTTCGCGGTTGGCCAGACCGCAAAGGGCCTAACTCTAGTAATTTTACAAAAATACTGTTACAACTGCCCAGGTAGGACGCCTAAACTATAGTGGAAAGACAGAATCAGAGAAAAGTCCAAAGCAGAAAACCAACCACTCGCTGCTACCAGAAAGTGCAGCGAACGCAGTCTTACACAATAACTATTTATTGAAGTATGTCAAGGCGAGTACGATATGAGACAGTGCAGAAGTAAGGTGCGAAGCGTCCAAGGTATGGACAGGAGTAACAGGAGGAGATCCGCTGTCCAGTCCGCCGTCCGTCCTCATGGTCGAACCATCGAATGCCTGTCGCGCAACCTCCCATGTTGTCATTCCTTGGTGCCTCGGCCGCCATATCACTGAACGGCATCTGGAAATAGGAATTGATTGTTAAGCTCCGAACATAGTGATTTCCTCCTTTACCTAAGTAACCCAACAAAGTTTTATTACATAATATACATGTATTTGTACTAATTTGACAGTGAGATTCTCAATTAGTACAAATACATGGTATGTTTCCATATACACAACAGATACATGGCATCATGGTGGATCACTGCTTCTCAGCATATTGCATTTCTGCACCTTACGGATCGACCGGCCATATCGTCAACGGTGACTTCCTGAACAAAGGGAAGCTCTTAAACGGACAATAATAGTGGGGGCAAAATTAATCAATGGCAAGGCCAAAATTTAATGGATAGACTCACAGTTTCACTGGTTTGTATGAACTTCGCTACAGCGAATCCACATCAACGCGAATGACAAAGCTTCGCGAAGGGACACTGCAAAAAATTGTAGGATGCAATAAGCAAGAAATAGTACATGATATTCGAAGCAATACGAACCTGCGAAATACACAGTTCGTAGCAGTTACTAACAGGAATAATAGTCATGTTCAATTCACAGATGGGAGTGCCTCAAGTAGTGGCTGCCATTCATTTTTAAACTCTTCTCACAAATTTGATTGACACAACTGTAATATTTCAATACCTGTCTTGAACAGAAGCTTATGGGGATTGCATCAGCTTTTATATCGATCAAAAGCGTTTATGTCTGAACCGAGATACACGCATGTGAATTCAGTGCCAAATCGGCGGAACCTTGCCGGACAGCGCAATTCATTTAAAGCATCTTCGTACAAGAGATAATAGACCGCCAAAATCAAATTAAACGAACGAGAAGGATCATAGAAACTGAGATGATCTAAAATGAAATCAAAATGACTGCAAATTCCATCAAGTACGCAGGAAGCGTCCTATGAACCGCGCCGCGTGCATTCGAATTCGTCCACGCCTCCAGCGCCATTGGCGACGCACCGCCGTTTCGCGTCGTCGATGCTGACGCACTCCGATTGACTCGATCGATAGACACTCATTTCTTTAGGAGGATTCGCAGATTCCAATGCGCGATTCGAAGCCCCTCCCATTTTGTGGATCGATACGCACTTCATTCATTTCGCATTTGCGCAGATTCGTTCGGTTCGAGCGTCCTCCTCTCGTGGCGCAAACTATGAACAATGCCTAACGCCCACTAGTTTTGTTGATGATCTGGATGGACTGTTTGCTGTTGGCTTTTCATTTTGGATGATCATTTCCCTTCTAGCGGCTGTATCTTCCAACTTGCCCACGTATTGCCTTATCAATCAAAACACTATGCTTGTTGGCATGATGGCGGCTATCGGGGTTAACACGTCCGAACAACGTCGTTCTTTACCGTCGCTCATCCATGGTCGAAAATGAAAGGGCAATCAAAGGGGTACTATTTTGCTTATTTTTGACGGATTTCTTTGCTTTTTTCGCCATTGGCGTACTATTGAGACCCCACGTCCCCCTGTGAGATCTATCGTAATCGCTTCCTTTAATGACGGTCTGATATGATCGGAAGCTGACATCTAGCTTTTCTTAATTCTATAAAAAAACCGCAAAATTTTGAAGTCATGGAAGTTTTACGCCCCTAAAAGTGTTGCTTGGAACCTCACATTGAAGACGATCAGGTTCTTCCTCTAGGTTAGGTCGACGCCACAGCGCAACGCGCACGCCTGTTCGTGAGCTACCAGTGATCTGCAGTGGTCCACGGGTTACCTGAGCTCACATAAAGTCCTCTAAATTGCGTCAGTACACTGTGCGTCAGTGTCTTGGTCAACGTTCTCTTCCTCAAATAGCAGTTCATGGCTATGAAGACCTCGAACGTCCCAGATTCTACTGAACGACTGGTGGCTTACGCACTGCCCATCACCTGAATTGCTCCATCCCCCTGGTTCACCAATGTGCAGTCTGTAACTGTTAGAAGCTGCAGTAACCGCCGTACACTATTCGCCTGCCCTCTAGCACCAATGCAACAACATAATTTCAGCAGTACGTTAGGGCTACCGTAGTCCAGTTGGCGCCTCTCAAATGCATTCTGAATTTGACAGTGGCATTTTCTTAAATCACAATGTACATCTCGCGTTGAAATTATTTTTGCAAAAGCTGGACACAATATCAAAGGCTGCACGAAGCTGTGTACAAGGAAAGAGAGTTAGTGGGAGGAATCGGAACTGAAGATGGTTTTCTACTTTTGAATAATGGTGCTACTTGTGCTCCCTTGCTGGAGCTGCTCTTGAGATTTTGTTTGTTCTGTGGATAAGCTGAAGGTGGTGCGCTATTTCCTTAGATCTGTGATCTGTGCAGATGTCAAACTGTAGATACATTTAAACAAGGATAACATCAGCTGCTCAATCCCTTTTGATAATTCATTGCATTTTCTTGGCTTTAGAGGTGTGATATGGATCCAAATGATCGGGGCTGTCTGCTCCATTTCTCTCGGGTTAGGTCTGCCGGGTGATCAACAAATAGTGCGTGTGGTTAGACTTCTCTGGCCATCATTTCTGGCTTTTTCCACAACATTCTGTGTCCCCTTTACTGCTTCTAAACTCATCTCAGGACCTTCAGATACGCGATGTTCCATTCGTGTTGTTTTTTCTCTTTTTGGCTTGACGGCAGACACTTGTTCAGCCTATGTGTTGGCTGCCGTGTTTTTGATTGAGTCTATGGTTTGAGCTTCCTACTTTTAGATTTATGACTCAGTCCCTTCGGATTGAAACAGCACATTGAGATGGATGTCAGACTAGGCGATTGTGCGCTCGCGACAGCGACAGCGAATGCATCGACGTATTTTCAAAGTTCAACCGCGAGAGCGTACTCGCCACTGAACAGTGATTGTGGAATAGGCCGCTGGGTCCACGCACACTTACTACACCGAATCCCTTATGTAACAATGACATTTTCTTCAGCGCATCACTCGGGAAGACGCATCATTTGGCTCGAGTTCAGTGTACCCACTGCGGGAACCTTCAATCTGACATTAGCCAAGGTTGTGGACGATATACGCCACAATGGAGCAGTAAAAACGACAGCTCACAAGATGCTTTTTCTTGGCCCTGTATTCAGAAAACGACTTGGGAGAAATGAATCATAGTTCAATTCCTGATCATTGCAATTAATAGGTGAACCTTCTGACGAGCTGTTCCTGGCTCTTTTTATAAGACCTAGTTCCGTGTCGTGATATTTAAAGGAATCTTCCACGGAAAAAGCTCCGCCTCCATTACCACAGAAAAACGATACCTTAGGCCCCTAGCCTCATGAGCATAGCAAAAAGAACGGAACATAAGCGTTAGTTTCGATAATACTAATCCTACACACAAGACAAAATGATCACTCTTTCCGTGGAAGATTCCTTTAAGGTATCGTTTTCTGTGGTAATGAGGGCGGAGCTTTTTCCGTGGAAGGATTCCTTTAATCAGGCTTTTACTCGGCATCATTTTTGGTTGGACTGGCTCTTTTTCCGTTTAATTGTCTCCTTGTAGTAGCTCATCTTTTGGATATGGGACTCCCGGAAAGTACAGAGCAGTAATGCCCTCACTTGTGCACAAATGAGAGGACATAGATACAGCAAACTCAAGCAGCATGTATTTAGAACTTTCATTGATGGCGTTACCATTGGGCATGTGTAGTGACAAGTGGCGCTTCACCACGCGAGCGGTCCGGGATCAAATCCTGGGTCGTGAGTCGCCCGGGCCAACCAAGCCTTCCATCCCTCCGGGGTCGGTTAATTGGTACCAGACTTGTCTGGGAGGATAAAAACACTGACTTGTACATCGGCTGGCCCCGCAAGTCATTGTATAGGCCACATCGCATTCAAACGCCACTACGAATGTACAAATGGAAGTAGAATGCGTGCCGCATCCCAAAAAGGGATTGATCAACGGCAAATGCTTTATCCTTTATCTTTATTCTTTCTATTGATGGCGACGATGCACGTTTTTTGCACTGCAAGCATTGCTTCCTCTTCCGTTCATTCTTTTGCTGTGTTTTCTTATCTAAATTCTCGGTAAATTTCTTACCTAAATCATTTTTCGGTAAAGTTGAGGAATAGAAAAGCCGCACATCCACGGAACATATTAATAGACTTCTTCAGGGAGAGTCCTAACCTTGCGCAGAACAGATTGCAAATAGGAGCACGTCTTTAATGGAGCACTGTGAAACACTTTTGTAATGTTGGTGGCCAATTTTATTGGTTGTTATGAACTATTCGTCGTAAAACATGAAACACTATACAATTCCAACATAATGAATATCATAGGAGGGGGAGGGGGGGGGTTATTGAGCCCTCTAGAGTTTGGTCGTAAAATTTTCAGGATCGAATCAGCCAGAATGTTTAGCCTGTTCAAGTGCCTGCTCAAGAAACACACTTTATAAAGTGATGCTTTAGAGCTTTGGGAAATTTATCTTGGTTCCTCTCTCAATTTGAGGGGCTGAGTAATATAATTGGAGTTTCAGTAGCAACAGTGGCCGGTTTTTTTGAAATGTTCCTAGAATTGAAGGGATAAGACGTGAACGCAGCGGCAGATGTAGCCTTAAAGCCACAAGTCAGGATTAGGCGGTCACAGAAGGCTTTTCCACCACCTATTTGGCCAGGACTGCGCTCAGAGGGGTGACGCCACACTCCTCCGAGACGACAAGGCCTCTGGCCTACTACTTACAGCGATGGCTTCGTTGCATCAGCTGGTCCCGCCCACCGCGGGATGTGGTGCGTGGCTGGCATAACGTGTGAAATCAGCTAGGTTGATTGCCGTATCAACCGATGGAACGGCTGGCATATCCGGAAAACTCGTTTGGACGTGGCTCTCCCCAAGCAAGCCTCCTTCACTGCTAGTGGGAAGGGGTTTCGTTTTCGGCCTTGTCGACGGTTTTCTTTTTTTCTCCACTGTCGTTCCACTTCGCATCTCCATACTCAGTTTCAGTCGCCATAATACCCACTTATTGAGCCCGACTTTTGCCTTTAAACATCACTTCTCAACCTTTTAGCTTCTTCAAGCGCAGGTGTAAAAGTCGGATGAATACCGTTCGATTTGCCAAGATAAATGCTATCCCGTTTTTAAATTCACTTCGCTTAGTAAATCTTGCTTATTCCTCGTTTTCTGCTTTATCCCTAGTTTCGATAGCTCTCCCACCTCTCGACACATGCTTTGTGCTATTCATGCGCGCAGAGCGTTTCACCTGAATGTCGATGGTCCTCCGACGTAGTTGGCGGTACTGCATCACTGCGAGAGTTGGTTCATGCACCACGCACGCGTACAGTAGCTCTAGTTTTGCAAATCCCGGGATAAAACGTGTGTATAGGAGCGCTTTTAGTGGCTGTGAGGCTGCAGAATAAGTTGAAAGTGGAAAAGAAAGCAGAGAAATCATTGGAGACACGGAAATTAAGGCGTTTATCTTCTGAAATTCAGTAAGGTCGTATGTGTTACGACGGCGAGACAGAGCGATCGAAGAAGACAAACATGCACTACGCACGCGTACAGCTGAGAGCTAGCTAAATATACGCGACGTGATGAACCAGCGGCTGAGGAAGTGGA